CAACTAGGAGATGGTGTAATTGGGCAGCAGGGAGGGGTGCAAAGTTCCTGCCAACTCACCTTCACTGCAGACAACTTGCATATGCAACGTTTGCCGGCCGGGTCTTTTGGCGCGCTCAGCAGCAATTCCTATTGGCTTTCAAAAGCCAATAGAGGGAGTAGCACAGTTCGTGCAAAAGTTGAAAAAATCCATCAAAAAAAGATGCCGGAACGCTGTTCTGAGCGTTCTATGAAGAAAAAAGCCCTGAATATTGATGGGCAAGATAGACCTACAAACCACATATACCCTCACCCTTGTTTTGATCTTAGAACACCCACTACCATCTCTCAACATCACACTGCTTTTGTAATTTAACCAGAAGTTCCCAGATGATAGCGCTGAACTCTTGAACAGTTTTCCTCCAGATTTGATAGTAAATATATATACTGATCACCCAGGAGGGAAAAATGCTGTGATTTTACTCTTCCTCTCCAGTAATCTCAGTGTATTACCATATTGTTCCCTGGAACCCTCAGATGCTGGGAAACAAAGATGCTCTCTTATCTTTTTCGTTGTTGTTTAGACAAAAGATAAGCCAGGCTGAACTATAATGCCTGATGAAACAAAATAAGGTTCTGGGCAAAATCAGAATTCTGGGAAAGGTACAGAGCATTTTGAAAAAGAACATAGAGTAGATAGATTGCTGAGATCTGCAGAGGATGCTTAGAATGTAATCAATTGAAAAATACAAGTAATTTTGTAAATGATTCCCATATGCATATTCTTGTTTGAAATGGAGGACAATTAGAATTCCTAAAAAAAAAGTGATGGAGCTATCATGCACAAAGAAAGGAAATCACATAGAATGTAATAGAAAACTTCCATACCACTAACATTAGGACAGCTTTCAACACCTGAAAGATTCTGCTGCCACAAAGTCAATTTCACCTAAGTGAAGAGCAGCCCAGCAGGCATTCAAATGTAAAAGTTATCCTGGTTCCAATGGCCAACCAATTTACACATTTGCAATTACTAGATTCTATTCATACAGCTGTCAGGTGTTGAATGAATAGCAGGAGAGCCAAACTTGCCTTATTTCCTCCTGGAAATACTAACTGCTTCTTTCATAAGAATGGACACTTTCTTTTATGTGGCTGATGCAGCAGATTGTGCTCAGAAAATCCCTGTAAGACATTAACTTGTTAAAGTGACGGATCACCCTTAAGAGGAAAACCATCTTTAAGGGAAGGGGGGAAGCAATTTCTGATTCAAAAAGCAAGCCAACTGCAAATTCAAAGACATAAAAGGCCACAATAACAGCTTGGTAACTTGGTAATGATGCCAAGCAAATCTATCAAGGAGAGAAGACTTAGAAAAAAATATATTATGTAGGCTGTGGTACTCGAGGATCTGGGAAAAGAAGAACAATTCATGAATATACTTACTGCTGTGTTTTCTTCTAGGGAAGACATACATGTTCAATAGAAGCCACAATAATATCATATGCATGATATCAGCTCATTGGTAGAATCCATGAATCCCATGCTAAAAGTCCCCAATTGAACCTAGACAATTGCTTTAATAGAGAAAAGAATAATGATGCCAAAATTATTTCTTTTAAGAATGCAAATACCCATTCAGAGAGAATGTTGTTTACTACACAAGTCAAAGACTGCTGTCCTGTTGTAGTTTGTTTGTGTTTGGCTTAGCATATTATAGAATCCCGGGTAATTATTATTCACAGGTTACTATTTATATAGCTTTGCCTTGTTTCTGAATTTCAACAGTCATTTTTCAATAAATCATAATTTAAACAAACTGTGGCTTAGCATAATACATGGCATTAGAATTAAACTTCCCACATACCCAAGATTGTTCATGTTTTTCTAGCTTGGCTCCTCAAAAGATGGGAATTTTATAATTCCTTTTTTAATAATATTTCCATTTAAATGTTACAGTTAAATAGATAAAAACAAATACAAACTACTACTGGTGAAGAAGATTCATGGTAAACTAAATGTTTCTGAAGGGGCAGAGATGGTACGGTGGTGAGATTGGCAGCCAAAAGGTAAATTCTGGCTGATAAAATCTCTTTGGAAAAGGGAAAGGCTGTGAGATCACTCTCTGTACTCCAGACAGCACTACTCATAAGTAAACTGCAGGAACAAAGTTTCTGCAGTTGGCTCATGAGCTGAGCTGTTGGGAATTAAGAGATTTCTGTCAAGCTCACCGCTTATACATGTTGTATAAATTTAGGAAAACAACTGACATGATTGGTTGATTGATGCAAAATGTTGATGTATGCGTGTTTTATAACAGGTAAAACAAATACAAACAACTCATGTTGCTTGTTTATTCTGTGAAATGTTTTACCAAGACACACCTTTGAAATTGAGATAAAATGTAAGTAAAGAGAAAGCCACAAGAAACTCTGTTCCAATTCCACAATTATTTTTCAGAATGTCTATGATTAAATTTATCCACATTATGAAATTTCTTAAATTTTATATGTTCCTTCCCTCTGTCTAAAGAAAAGCAATAAACAGATATAATGAGAGACCTCTACTCATCTTTATATTTTCTCAAGCAAAAGCTCCTGTGTTTTCATTTTTATTATAATGATATCTTTTTTTTTCCTGTAGTTAAGATTCAGCAATGTGGGATAATGGAAAGATATACAAAATAATGCAGGAGTTCTGTAATAGTTTTGGCAATGAAGAAAAGAGAAAGAAATGAAGTATACTTGAATGATTCACAGTTTCAAGTATATTTGTCTGTCCAAGTTATTTTGCGGAAAATAAATCTATAATCCTGTGGTGAATGGCACGAGTCATATCTATAATGTAAAAAGATAAAAGCTCAATTCTGCTTTAACGTTTGAGTTAAGTTGAAGGAAATGAATTAGTTTGAAAATTAATTTTAAATAATGTTGCAGAACATGAGATGTAACAAAATTACCTAGCAAAGATCCAATAAAAATATTTAGTTTAAATATTGATATATTTATATGGTGCTGCACCATGCAAAACTTTATTGGAAAAAAAAACTGGCAGAGGAAGTCAAACAGTATAGTTAACAGAAATACACTTTTTTTTCTAGATGTTCATTCCCTCCAGGAGTGGGAAAATACCCCCTCGAAGAGAGAGAAACAGTTAGAACTACTCCCACTCACAGCCCACTTCACCACCCATCCTGTGTCACGTTAGATTTTTGTTGCTTCTAAAGAAAGAAATGGTGAAAGTGCAAAAATGTAGCATCTTTTCCAATTAACAAATTTTATTAAAAAGCATAAGCTTTTTTGAGTGCTAGCATTGTTGGTTAGAAAATATGCTACTAGTCTTCTTGTGATTCTTTGCCATCAGATTAACATGACTTTCCTCTTGCAATATCTTTAGCAGAAAAACTTAGTTTTGCTCCTAACCCTCTGCTAGGAATCATGACAGAAAAAGGTGTAAAACTTTTCTTGAGGTCAGAAATCATATTTGAGGCAACCTCACATCCACAGCTACATGCATCAGTTTAAAGGGGTATTAAACATTAAATAAAAAATTAATGAAAAAATGATATTGCTATGATTATTACCTGCATGTTTAATGATTGTCCCCTTTATCCAAATGATGGTTAAGCTATTGTACAAATTCTATGTGATTATTTTATGAAAGAATAGGTTGTATTTTTGTAGGTGACTTATTCAGAAGGTAAGGGGTTGCTCCTTTTTCAGAAAGAACTGGAACTGTCATTCTTTTCTCATATTTGTCACCAGCCCCCTACAAATAAGGCCTAGAGTTGAGGTTGAGAGCAATATACAAGTCAGGCATCTGCAGAGGAAAGAGGGTGGTGGCAAATAACAACATGAGGATAGAATCATAGCAATTATAATGGTGTTCAGGGATTCTTTTTTTAACAATATTTTATTAATTTTTTTATAGTCACAAATCTTTAATATTTTATCAGCAACATGTTGTCTGGGTTCCAATATTTAGCTTACTAATACATGTTAAACTCCTTTCTCTCTAAAGCAGAGGTCCCCAAACTTTTGGGCACCTTTGGGTTAAGTGGAGAGAGGTTTTTCCGCGGACTGGAGGGTGCGTGGTTTTGTGTGCTGCCTGCATCTTGCGGAAAGGGCTTTGCTTGTTTATGTGGCCCAGTTGATTCTTTTAAAACTTCATACTTCATATAATATTATAAGTATCCTTGACTTATGACCATAATTGACCTTAAAATTTCTGCTGCTAAGTGGAACATTTGTTCAGTGAATTCTGTCCCATTTTATGATCTTTCTTGCCACAGTTGTTAAGTGAATCACATTGTTAAATTAGTAACACAATTGTTAAGTGAATCTGGCTTCCCCATTGATTTTGCTTGTTAGAAGGTCACAAAAGCTGATCACACGACTCCTGGTCACTGCAACCGTCATAAATATGAGTCAGTTGCCAAGTGTCCAAATTTTGCTCATGTGACCATGGGGATGCTGCAATGGTTGTAAGTGTGAAAACTGGCCATTAGTCACTTTTTTCAGTGCTGTTGTAACTTTGAGCAGTCATTAAATGAACTGTTGTAAATCAAGGACTACCTGTATATGTTTCCATCTCCTTGTAAGTCCGTGGATGAACGAGAGAAGGATAGCAGCAGCCGCTTTTGTCAGCTTTGTCGAACCTTTGGGTCTCTTGCCCAGCCCAGAGATGAGGCTGCTTTCAGCCTCGCTTCTCCTGCCAGCTGTCGTCTAGCCTGAAAACCCGCCAAAGAAAGGAAAAGAAACGAGGGTTCCCTCTTTGGGTCCGCTTTTATCCGATTGTCCTCTTTCTCTTCCACATGTAAAAATGTAAGTGATGATCCTCGTTTAAAAAAAAAAATTACCGGTATTTATTTTTCTCGATCTCATCACCATACTTTATAACAAGTCCTTGATGCGCAGAAGCAACCTGGCAGGCTTGTAAAACTACATTATCCAAAAATCTCCGGGAGTACTACAGGGAAACTACGTTACCCAGAAGGCCTCGCGAGGGCACAAAAAAAAAAGCGAAACTACATTCCCCGGAAGGCTTTTCAGGAACTTAACGCTGTCGTGGCGTTTCGGGGGTTACAGTGGGAATGCCTGAAAGTGTGCCCCGTTTTCTCCTTGCCGCTGAGTGTGTGAACGGCGGTCTTCAGTGGTGCCCGTGAGTCTCAGGAGAAGGACTTATCTCACCTCTCCTGTGGCGAATAAGGATGAGGAGGGCTGGGCTGGGTAAGTGGGGATGAACAACGAAAAATTTCTTGTGGGGAGCTGGGCTCTACGAAGGAAACCGGTGTTCAGAGGTTCAGCGCATTTGCCACAGTTCATTCACGGCCCTTCGGGAAAAGATCCAAGCCCCTCCCGGGATTTAGGTTAACTTTCCTCTTATTCATTAAGGCGAATAGCAAAGGCCTGGTGATACCCTTCTCCTACCGATGTCTTTAGTCCTTTTTTCCTCAATGGGATTTACACTTAATATGCCTAAGAGTTCAAAACACTCAATGATGTCTCCTACCAAGAGATGGCAGAAATGCAAAGAGCCAGTGGTGTGTAAGTGGGACTGGCACAAGGGGCACCCTATAGATTAAGCTTAGACCGAAGCTCCTTGGGTGATTTTGGGCCAGTTACACTCAGCTCAGTCTACCCAGCTGGGCTGTGCTTGGGAAAAATAGAAGGAACTTTATGCATACTATTTTGTGGTCTTCTACCAAAAGTCAGGATATAAATCTAGCAAATAAATACAGGTGGAGTATCATGTATCGTTCAGTCATCCTACTATAGCTGGATGAACACTTATCTCAGATTTTTAAAGGCCAGCTGTGCATTGAGAGTCAGGGTGTACCTATGGGGTACTCTCATCAAGTATCTGCAAAAATCATCATTACTGAATAAAGTTGAAACTAACTGTAGACTATGATGAAAGCGATAAAACACTATCTGTAGCTTGTTTGTTCTGTATGTCTTGCCACATATGCTACAAAGAGATCTACCAGTCTCTTTCCCAGGTATGTGGGAGGAGATTTACAGAGGGATGGACTGACTGATTAGACCAGGGGTAGGCAACCTTGGGTCTTTTATGACTCGTGGACTTCAACTCCCAGAATTCCTGAGCCAGCCACGCTGAGGGGAAAGGAAGAGGTTTCAAGCTGAGCCATGCTGGCTCAGGAATTCTGGGAGTTGAAGTCCACGAGTCATAAAAGACCCAAGGTTGCCTACCCCTGGATTAGACACAACCAAGGAATTGTATCAGGAAGTTCAAGACTGCATGAATAATGAAAAGATGAGGCAGCAATGAATATTATGGCTTTAATGATGAGCTTTTGTGGATGCTTAACATTCAGCCCAGTTTTCACTGCACTAATGAGAATAAAAAACTGCATTAACTTTTAAAATAGGTATGCAACCCTGCCATCAAAAGCTCCTATTCTCTGGCCTATGACATCTAGGAAAAACTTAATTTATCAGAAATCTTTCATTGAATGCTAATTGGAAGCCTAAGACTTCCATAGTAAATATCATTTACTATGACAAAGTTAACACTACACATTATGCAGATAGCTTGCAAATTTTAATCAGCTTTCAAGAAATTCCTAGAAACCTGGTATATTCTGAAAGCATTTGGGCCCTGCAAAATAATGTGAAATTTAATATATAAATTAATTATCTTCAAAGTAATTCAATGGCATTCTATTATAATGCATTCTGCATAATAAAGTATTTTTGTAGCTCACTTTCTCCTGTTTATAAATTATTTTTGGCTCTTTGTCAAAAATGTTTTCTATTTTATATGGATAAACTGTGTCTCATTTAGTCAGCTAACTCTGCAGAAATCTTTGCATTTTGACTCATTAATAGCCTCACCATATTTTATGTTTTACATAGAAAACTTCAAGAAAATAGTGAAAGATAGTATATGCTACTTTTCTTTTTAAGAGACCCAGTCCAAATTCTGAGCAATTTATTCGCATCTTGTGCATTGAATGAACAATAACATCCAGCAGATCCAGTAACTATAAATTATAATATGTATAAAAATCGGAACATAGATTTCTAGCATTCAGGTGAGGCTGGACGGACATTAAATTAGATGTTATGGCAATATTCCATGAGTAGACTTGTTCCAGGGCACACTATTCTAGTTTTAAAGATAGAATTTCTGAGGTGATTATAACGTGTGTGTGTGTGTGTGTGTGTGTGTGTGTGTGTGTGGTGTTTGTGTCTCAAACAGAAAAAATTAATACTGATTTTATCTATGCCCTAATTTATTACCAATTGTATAAGTGATTTTTACCAATTTGAAGTGTACTCAGAAACTGGCACAGTTTTAATTTTTTAGCTGGGCCAAGTAATAATTTAGTGGCTAGATAACTGAAATTTTAAGAAAATGTGTAAAGGCAAACCTACCATGTGCTAGTAATCTAAACAATAGACATTCAAATAATCTCAGTTTGGGAAGATGTGAATCTGCTTTACAAGCCTGTTGCATCTTACAGTTGCCACTTGGCCTTCCAATGACAATATGTATCAGCACCCTTATCCTTTAAAATAAACTTGCTTAGGTATGTGGCTTCTTAAGTCTTGTGTGGAGCCCCCAGTTCTATCCTCAAATTGCTGCCGCATCATTAATTTATTAAAGCTTCAGGTGATTAGAAAATGCACCTGGATGCCTTCATTAGTTGCAGTCAATAAAATCAAAATTAGTTTTTTGCCATCCGCTATATACCTGCCAGAGTGCTTTTCATGGATTATGACTAAAATGTTCATATCTGTATTTAGGAAAATGAAATCCCATTGACATTGACACAATGGTTTATCTCCTGACCTGTTTAAACTTCATTTGCCTTAAGTTCCTCCATAAGTGTTCTATTTTTCAAGACTGGTTCCACTGCTTTGTCTATCTGATGAAAAGGTGGGGTAGAACAAGGTTTCATTAGTGCAAACTTTACTCAAATTTCCTTGAAGAAAAGGGTAGTGGCTTTTCTCCCAAGGTAATGTCATAAATGGATTTCTGAAGAATCTTAAAGTGCATCATTGAGTAAAAATGATTAATGAGATTCTGGGAATAAACTAGCTGTATTTCTGTGTTGCATCAGTTATGAAATAGACCTCTGGAATTGCAAGAAAATATTTCCAGTCTATGATGTATAACTTTTGAATTCTATCCACGAAAAATGGTCACTGTACAACTTTTAGCTATCCAAGAAATGTGTAGACATAGTTCCATCATTACTCTATTATTTTAACTATTTGGAAGTGAAGTTCCTGTCCCCCCTATGAAAATTATAAATCTATTTTCCTACTTGAGATATTGAGACTCAGTTTATATGCCATGTTTTCAGTAAAATAATTCGTTGATTTTTTTTTAGGTCATCAACATATTTGACTCTTACCTGACCCTCATCTTCCTTCTCTTGCCTAGCCATTACTTTTTCACCTGTCAAATTTATCAAGCATTTGGTATATCTGTGGGCTGTTGTGTAAGAGGGATGTATGTATTAATTATGTATGGATGAGATGCTGTATGCATGGATGTATTTCAACATAACCACTTCAGTTTGCCCCACCCTCATGCAACATGTTCTACAGGACCTGAAAAAATAGCCCTCTACCTTAAAAAAAACAATATAATATTTTATTTCTAACACACAAATTATAATTTTCATTCTAAAAGTTGACCTAATATTTTTGTTTTCAAAGGAGCTAGCCATATTAGTCTGCTGGGGGGGGGGGGGAAATGAAGAAAGGTTTCGTAGCCTTTTAGAAACATAACAGATTTATCCCTACTAATTTTTGTGGATCCTGTCCACTTAATCAAAGTGGGGTTTAATAGTATTTTATAACACCTTAAAAACTCTACAAAAAATTACTAAATCTTTGTTAGTGCAGTTCTCTAAAATAAATTGTGACAAATGACTTTATGTGTGTGTGTGTACATGTATATGTATATGTAAATAAATTATGAAATAGTGTTTCTTAAGCTACCACTAAATGCAGTAAAGTATTAAGTTTCTGTATCCCACAGCAGATACAGATGTATGATAGGCTTAATATGTATAGAGGGTAAAGGTTTTACTGAATTTGCAACATAAATTGTGGCAGTGCGATAGCTCAACAATTAAGACAACAGCCTGGGTTTGAAACCCAAGCATCACACAATGGGGTGAGCTCCTGTCCTTGCTCTGGCTACTGCCAATCTAGCAGTTTGAAAGCATGCAAATGCCAATAGATAAATAGGTACCTCTTCGGTGGGAAGGTAACAGTGTTCCATGACTTCATGCTGGCCACATGATGGAAGAATCTTCAGACAGCGCCCAATGGGCCTTGAAACAAAGATGAGCACTGCCCCTTAGAGTCGGCAACAACTAATGGAGTAAAATCTGCAGGGACTCCTTCATCTTACCTTTTACCTTACAACATATTATAATTGAATTTTATTTAAAAACATTTCAATGATATACCAATTATGAGCATCTTTAGATCTGTTAAAAGTATTAAGAGGTAAAGTGTTATGTAAAAATAAAAAACCTACATGTGGCTAATTTTCAAAAGCAAAGGAAAAAATATCAGGAAAAGCAGTACGTTAAAAGGAGCTAAAATGCAAAGCTTAATTTTGTATTTTACAAATAATTGCAAGTAAAAATAATACAGGTAGTGCTTGGATTATGAGCACAATTGGGACTGGAATATCAGTCCCGATTGTGGATTAAACTGATGCAGAATATTATCATTGTATTCTAACCAATCTCAGGATGTTCCAAAAGTGATGTTGGCACAGAGAAGACCCACCCATGTAGTCCCTGATGCTAAATAGGAGTCTGAAAGAAGCTTTCCCTTGCAAAATGTATTGAATAGTCAAAAACCAGTGGGAGCAGGTGATCAAAATTACCCAATTATAAAGTTTTTAAATTGCTAATCTTGAAGAGTAACACTGCCTATTCTTACTGAAGAAAAAGGCAAGGGACAATTTCTAAGACCAGTTTTGAAGAGTAGAACTTAGCAGTTAGGGAAGAGGTCTTTGATTTTGTGTTGGCATGAAGAAAGGAGTAAGAAAATAACACATCTAATTTAATAGATGATCCAGATACGTACACCCCACTTAAAAAATCAAAGAAGAGGAAGAGATAGACTTTAATGTATATTCTTCTGTAAAATGTTAACAGTATATGGATGCTTTGGACTGTCCCTTTTAGTTATTTTTTAAGACAATGGATTTGGATCCTGAATTCTCTTTGCAACCCATTGGATTGGACTGTAGACGGAAAGGCCCTGAGGGTAACATGAATTAATCATCCTTTGTATGTCTTCCTTCTTCCCTTATTCATTACTTTGACCCTGTTCAATTTTACATTATGAAAGGTTTAGGTTGTTCCTATTTCGTGATGACATTACTTGCCTGTACTTTTAAAACAGGTGATGATTTAATAAAACTAAACTCTTTCCCTCCAGAAACCATATTTTCCCATCTGAACTTCTGGTGCTTTGATTGTTTTTTTCAGGTGAAGGAGCTGCTGGCAGCAATTATGGTTATACCAATAGTGGCTATAGTGTATATGAGGAAGAAAATGAAAAGCTAACAGAAAGCTTGCGTTCAAAAGTCACTGCCATAAAATCTGTAAGTATGTCATTATACTAGCAGCATCCAAATTGATTGGAGTACATAATGGTTGGATTATCAGTGTGTAGCAACAATTTAATTGAATTGAGGCACAGTGTTGCTCATCAGAAAGCATGGTACATTTGTTCATAGAATAGATTCTACCTATAATTGGATTTGAGTTTCAGCTGCCCTTTTTAGCTAATCAAAGTATTAGTTACAAGCTGGAACAGGCAGAAGATTTTCTTGTTTGGCACTGTGAGTAAGAATTGTGTTCCTAAGGGAATAATAAGTCAGCAAAGTTTAGTAAGTGAGTCTACTTATAAGCCACAAAGTTAAATTGTTCTGTTAAATAAATACTGAAACTAAACTGAACCAGCCCAGTTGTCTAGTCTGGTCTCTATAAGTAAAGCTGGCAATTTGTACATCCTCACTTGCCAATTCATTTACTATGTCTTTAATAAGCCTCAGTGTGGCAAAAAAAGTTCAGGTTTGCTTCAAAAAGAACTCATTGACTTCAACTTGACTTATTATACACCGTGTAAGGAAGGTATACCAAGATATTTTAGCAGCCCAATGGCTCCCTTGATCTAACTAGCAAATCTTGGGGAATTATTATGGTTCAAAGGAATCTATAGGAAATAAATGAGATGTAATAGAATAATCCACTACCCAAACTAGCTAGCATACTATTAATCATCTTCTGTAATTTAATCTGCCATGTGTACCATTTTTTGCTCAATATGGCTGGTCTGTAGTTCGGAAGTATAGGCTTTAAAATACTGAAACATATAAAATGCTGAAAAAAAGAAACAAATTATCTAAGCACATTATAAACAGAAAAGAAATAAGAATTAAGACAAAGATTATCAGTATACAAAGTGTCTTTAGTTAAAAGCTTTGGAGAGCAGAGCAAAATAATACTATAATTCCTACTAAATAAGGAAAAAAATTAACAGAAGAAGGGAGAGAATTTGTATTTGAAAATGAATGAAATGGTTGGAAAAATAATGCTATCTTACTCAATTCCATTTCAAACCTGGGACCTTTTAGGATCATCTGGAATACTTTAAATAAGCTTGTTATCTCACTATATACTATTATGCATTGTAAAATACAGTATGTCTTTTTTTCTCATAGCTTACCATTGAAATTGGAACAGAAGTTAAACAACATAATAAATTATTAACTGAAATGGTATGTATTTACTTAAGCAGTTTATTTTAGATGAGCATGGAAACAGCTAAACTCTAAGCTTTCAAATAAATCAATTTAATTTTAAAATCACTCAAGTGAATTCTAACATACTCAGCCCTTAAGTCATGCTTAGATGACACCTCTGAATTTAATAAGATAAGTGAATAATGATTTAGGTTTGTTATTTCAGTAGGTTTATTTCAGGGGTCCCCAACCTGTGGGCCATGGTCTCCTGGCCACCAGGCTGTGGCTGGCCAGTGCACGCGTATATGCCGTGCACCTCCTCACTTGTGTTAGCGCCACAGCCACATCCCAAAAACAGGACGCCATGCCATGGGGCACAAAAACAGGCTGCCACTGCACCTTGGGGTGCAAAAATGGGGTGCCGTCGCACCGTGGGACGTAAAATCAGGCCACCCCCAAGCTGCAAGGTGCAAAAATGAATGCCACAAAAATGAGCGACGCCGCACAACGGGCCACAAAAATGCCGCCACACTGCAGAGCACAAAAAAGGTCATCGCTGCATCACTTGGTGAAGAAACACATTGTGCCACGCAAGAATGGGGCAGGACTAGCGAGTATCTCGCGGGTGCTAGCCCTGCCCCATTTGCGGCACATGTGTGCTCGTGGCCCCAAGTGCATGCACGCGTGTAAAATGCTTTCCCCTCCCTTTTCCTCTGGTCTGCCAATCGACAAAGGTTGGTGACCTCCGGTTTATTTTATGTATAAGTTTGGATTATTTAGCCCTGTACCTAACATCAAAATTGTTACATGTCCAGAATCTTAGAAATGGGTGGCAATGTAATCAAATAATAAAATAAATGTTATAAAATTCTGCATTTTCTACAGAAGAAATAGACAGTTGCAATATATATATATATATTTCCCCAAAAAATCCAAATTTTGCATACAGCTATTAAAATAAATGAAGTTAAATGCATGGGACATTTTTTTAAAAAGCAAAAATATCCACTGTCACCTTTTTTGGGAAGGTGAACTAGACGCTGAAGTACAATTCTTTCCGTGCAAGTGAGAACAATTTAATTTCTTCAACATTTTGCTTAACTTTCACTGTCTAAAATTTAGTATTTTCAAATGAAGCAAAGGAATTATTCAATTTATATCTCACTTTCTCTCTAAGGATTAAGCAGTATTTTCACAATTCAGTAAAAACATTATACCAAAAAGTCAATAACATACTTAAATAAATCCAGTGAGGATTATGTCTGAATGGTGATTTGAACTCAATATTCTGTTCAAAACTCTGACTTAGCTTTTTACAATCAGAGTTATGACCATAATGGAGCCCAAAATTTTAACTGCTAAGCAAGGCAGTTGTTAAGTGACTTATGCCCCATTTTATGACTTTTTTGCCACAGGTAAGCAGGCCACTACTGTTTTAAGTAAATCATGCAGTTGTTAAATGAATCTGCCTTTCCCCATTAATTTTGCTTGTCAGACTCCAGCTGGGAAGGTTACAAGTGATGATATTTTAATGAGCCTGGGACAGTGCAATTGTCAGGTGCCCCAATTGTGATCATGTGACCATGGGGATGCTGCAGTGGTAAGTGTGAAAAAAGTCATAAATCACTTTTTTCAGTGCTATTGTAACTTCAAATGGTCACTAAACAAATGGTTGTAACAGAAGGACAACCCATACTGCTTGGAAACATGAACATACGCTTTTCAGAAATACCCAATATGACAAAGTAATTCTGAGAGTTGGAAGTCCACATATTTGAAGGGAGCCCAAGTTGAGCAAAAATATTCCAATGCATGAGAGTTGAAGTCAATTCTGAGAGTTGAAGATTTTTTGTATTAAAAGTTGCTAATAGCAAAAGCAATAGCACTTAGACTTATATACTGCTTCACAGTGCTGTACAGCCCTTTCTAAGCAGTTTACAGAGTCAGCCTATTGCTCCCAACAATCTGGGTCCTCATTTTACTGACCTCGGAAGGATGGAAAGCTAAGTCAACCTTGAGCCAGTCAGGATCAAACTCCTGGAGTGAGCAGTGAGTTCGCTTGCAGTACTGCATTCTAACCACTGCGTCATCACGGCTCTCTTGTGTTGAAAAATATTGTAGATACCTTGCTGATCTATGAGCAGAGAAAATACATCTGGTTGCAGGTTCTATCTTTAGGTATTAAAAGTTTAGGTAAGATGCAAACAGTAAAATAATTCTGCATGTTTTTAACAACAGGACAATGATTTTGATTCAACAAGTGGATTCCTTGGTGCAACAATGGGCAGATTGAAAATCCTCTCCAGAGGAAGCCAGACAAAACTGTTATGCTACATGATGCTGTTCTCATTGTTTGTGTTTTTTGTGATTTATTGGATTATTAAACTAAGGTAATGCAGATCTCCATTATGAGATTATTTACAACATGATAGACTCTTGATTTTTTTGAGAAAATTGGTAAATAATTTTTGTAACTGGATTTAGGATTAATGCATTTGGATCTCTGCTGTATACTCTTAAATGCTTATCAAGCTAGAAGCGTTTTTGTTTTTTGTTTTAAAAAGCCCTTATTTTGTAGCGTTTCCTAAACTGAATTTGTTCAAATCTGAACTCTTTGCAGACAAAACACAAGTTTACTAAGGATGAAATCTATTATTGAAACAGGCATTTTCCTGTTCAGAAATTACACTGTATAAAAATGGTTACTTTTTTTCCTAATAATAAAAATAATCTTGGTGATTTTGTATACATTTATCGAATATTTTAAAAAGTGAAATGACTTTAAAGCTAAATTAATTGAAGGGCTATTGTTTTAGTAAAATATTTAATAGTGTTCTGAATTTGGCTTGCAGTTAATTATATACTTTATACTATATAATAGTTTTGCGATACAGTTGTTGTGTGAGGGAAAAGGGGGCTCACAATTCAAACATGTGGTTCTTTACCCACATGTCTGTACTGGGATTCCATTACTATTATGTTTAGGGTTAAAAGACCAGAATAGGTAGTTTTAATTTTACTACACTATCTTACAATAGGCAGTTTGTGCAACATTCTAGATAGGCAAAGCAGTTGCACAACCCGCTGTTATAATGTTTGAGGTTTCATGTAATGTAATAGTGAAACAGGCTGTTTTTGTTTGTTTGTTTGTTTGTTTTGAAAAAAGAAATTTAGAGGTTAGATTCCCTTTAATTAAAAGATGAAAGGAATCCACAAATATGAAATACCCATTAAATAAATGGCCTGTTTTATTATATATTGGTATATTCCTAGTAGCAACAATAGATAGTTGCACCATTAATAATGTCGCTGTTTTAATTTGGTAGGACAGTGTTAACTTCCAGAATATGAAATCTGATAGTATGTGACATTTGAAATAAAGGTGACATTTACAAAGTTCCGAGAGATAAATTTTGGTGATGAGAATAGAACCTTTTTTTCTTTGAAAAAAAAAGTGTTCTATCTCTATAAGGAATACCTATCTCATATGAAGATTTCTTCACAGGAGTTTCAATTCATCTCTTTTAACTTGCAATTCTTGTTTTAAAACAGCAATAGCAACAGTACTTAAAATTAAATACCACTCCATAGTGTTTTACAGCATTCTCTGAGCCGTTTACAGATATCAGCATATTGTCCCCAATAATTTGGGCCCTCATTTTACCGACCTCAGAAAGATGGAAGGCTAAGTCAATCTTGAGCCTATCAGGATCGAACTCCAGGCTGTGGGCGGAGTTAGCTTGCAATACTGTATTATAACCATTGCGTCACCCGAGATTTTAAAATTCATGCTCAGAGCTAGTTGTTAAGGTGTTAGACTAGAAGTGGGAAAACTTGAGTTTTAGCTCCGCTTTACACATGGTAGCCAGCTGGTTGATTTTAAGCAGTCACTAACTTTCAGCCATAGGAAGAGGGCATGGTAAACCACTTCTGAAATGTTTCCAAGTAATAATCAATGGATTTATCCAAGCAGATACCAGAAGTCAAATCTGATTTGAGGGTAGTATTTATTTAATTCTCTATATTAAATACTTTATACTGTTTTTGCTAAGTTCATAGATGTTTATTTTTAACACACCTGCAAGTTTGACCTTGAGTGTTATATTAAGCTTCTTAGAAGTTTTGCATGCAGAATTTCTTTTTGAGAAAATTGGTAAATAAGCTAAGTTAGATGCTGGATAAATATCCAGTGAATCTTCTGCATTTATGTTGAGAAGTTTGATAATGCAAATCCAGTCACTATGTAGCTAGGATCCCATTAAAGTGTTAAAGTGAGGATTCTAGTCACCATCACAATTGGCCATTTCAACAGCAATGATAATTTCCATCCATTTTTCAGTTCCAACATATAGAGTCACACCGATATGGAGCAAGTATATCTTTGTTTCATTTATATGTATTTTATACTGACAAATTCTCCAATTGAAATTATTATTTTTTAAATATAGTAGAACAATTCATGATTTGAAATTTATTCCAATCATATATAAATGCTTCAATTATAAAAATTATATCCTATTTTATTATATTGAAAATACTGAAGAATATCTTTGATTTTACTAATGGTAAGGCTTATATACAATATACATATTTATCATTTAAAATATAGAGAAATGCAATAGGAATGTTTCCTTTTTTAGTATCATTTATTTATTAAATTTATTTGCTGCTTATCTTGCTTGGGGGGCTGCTCTAAGCAATTTACAATAATAAAAAGAAAGAAAAATGAAAAATTAAAGTTATTAACATTAAAGCTTTAAACCATTTGAAGAATATGATTAGGCTGACTGACATTGAGATTTTTTTCATCATAATTGTGCTATATAGCAGAAGTCCCCAACGTTTGGGCACCAGGGACCGGTTACGTGGGGAGAAGTTTTTTCCGCGGATTGGAGGGAGCGTGATTTTGTGTACTGACTGCATCCCGCGGATGGGGCTTTGCTTCTTGTGTGGCCTGGTTGCTGGTGTGCCACAGCCCGGTACCGGTCCATGGACTGGGTATTGGGGACCCCTGCTATATAGTTCTGAAAATTCCAGGGGTCATCCTTTTTGGTTCCTATAAAATAAGAGAATACAGATTAATGTTTCAATTTAAAATAGCTTTTTTGTAACTAACTACAAGCCCACTGTTTACTGATATTACATCTGAATGTCCTAATCTCATAAAATTCAACTGGAGGAAAATGGGTCCCTTTCATAATTACTTCCAATAACCAATATTTGAGTATGCAGCCTATGATGCAGGGGGTAGTAAATCTTCAGTGTTAGCAACCATTGATAGCTTGATTCTGAATGAACCCATTCAGCTGTCTTTGAAAGCTGTCCAAATTGCTTGTTGTAATCACAACTGCTGGCAGTGAATTCCCTAAATTAGCTGTATATGGTGTGAAAAAATATTTATTTCTTACCATCTTTAGCCTCCCTGCATTTAGTTTGGGTAATAGATGACTTGAAATTCTAACAGTGTGAAAGAAGGATAAAAATTTTTCTCTTATCTAAGCTATGCATAACTCTATGTACACCATGCACCCATTCTTTTTCAGGCACCATATTCAATTAAACTAAATAATCAACTACAGGTGGACATTTTTCCACATCTTTTGAAAAGTAATGGTGCCTTTAATACATTGCATATTATATTATAAATAAATATAGAATGCATTCTATGTATTATTCAATTGTTACTAACAGGGTTGCACAAACAATACATTTAAATAATTATTTAAATCAATATAATTGTATGGTACACATTAAGATATGCAGTATTAATGCATATGTTAATATCTATGAGACGCATGGAATAATTACATGAACTGGTATGTGTGATCAAAGCTCTGATTAATATTTGAAAATCTTAATTATAAAATATGTGAGATAAGAATCCTAGGTTGGTCCTATCATTACATTTTTTACATTACATCCCTACCTTACATTGTTCAGAAGCAAACGATGGATTCACTTTTTAGAATTAAAAGAAACCCAGAAAAACATTCTAGGTATGAATGTGCAGGCATTCACATTTAAAGCAGAAGAGGGGCTTCAGATCTGGCCTGGGTGTGCTCACTGTGCATGAAATCGGTGGAAAAAAATACACCTACTTTCAGGTGCATCAGCACACTTTCAGTAGCCTTATAGATGCTAAATTTAAATATAATTTACATGCAAGAAAAAATCATTATGAAAATTAAAAATGTAATTCCTTTGGCTATATTTATCGTATCCATATAAAAAAACCTGTCTAATACATATTATTAAAACAGTAGCAAAGATTTATAGTTAAATAGTTTTTATTCACAAAACTTACTTTTGTGGCAATATACCCATGTATTTGCATATAATGGACAGCATGATTTCATCAGAGCCACCTCCTATTGACATCAATCTTAAATCTCTGCCATGACAGAAAAGGCAAAAGAAAGTATTATTGATACTGTTTCCCCTCTCAGTTATACTAAATATTGTTTAACAGTTCTTGTTTAACTAATGTGAATTGCAAGTTGCTTTAATATACTAATCATTATCATCACTTATAATGTATTGGATTTATAAGTATAACATTTTAGTTTGGGACAGAATCTAATGATCCTCAGTCTAATGGTCAGTAAGTCTAACTGAGTGTGGCTGCCTATATAGTACCCAAAGCCTACAAAGGAAATCTTGCCAACCTTTCTCTGTTGCCAAGCTAAATAATCATAAATTGGGTAACAAGATTCCTACTCTAGTGCTGCTCTTTGGAAAATGGAAACCACAGTCTTGAATATCAATCCTGGATCCACAGTAGGGTTTAATCTTCTGTTACACAGGCATTAATCCCCATGATTTCGATGGCTGTGGAAATCATAGCTTTCAATAGAATTGTTCTGATGCATATTTTTTATATGTCAGAAAAAATGCAGCCCATAAAAATTCCACAAAATTCCAGTCAGTCCTCTATCTCAGAAAAGCATGCTAATTCCTTGGTAGGCGAGGGGGAGGAGAGTTATTTCAATTCCATTTTGGTATGCCTCCTTGAATTAGAAATGAAGTATCTATTTGCAAATAGGTATAGTCCTTGGTTTACAACAGCAATTGGGATTGGAATTACCATCATTAAGCACTACAAATATAAAGAATGATGTCATGTGGTCACATTGCTTAGTGACAGCAATTCTGTCAGTTCCAGTTGCCATTGTTAAGCAAATCATGTGGGTTATTAAGCGAGGACATTGCATGATCACCATTTGCGATTTCTTGCTGGCTTCTTCATTGACTTTGCTTCTCAGAAGCTGCCAAACATAGTTGCAAATGGTGACCACTTATTCATGGGGCATTGCAACAGTTGGAATGCTAAGGATTGTCTACAAGTGCAGTTAGTCCTCAACTTATCACCACAATTGAGCCCAAAATTTACGTTGCTAATTGAGAATTTTGTTAAGTGAGTTTTGCTCCATTTTACAACTTTTCTTACCATGTTTGTGAAGTGAATCGTTGCAGTTATTAAATTAGTAACATGGTTGTTAAGAGAATCTGGCTTCCCCATTAACTTCACTTGTCAGAACGTCGCAAAAGGGGATCACATGACCCCAGGACACTTGCAATTGTCATAAATATGAACCACTTGTCAAGCATCCGAGTGTAAATCATGTGACCATGGGGGGGGCTGCAATGATCATAAGTGAGAAAAATGGTCATACGTCCCTTTTTTTGGTACTGTTGTAACTTTGAACTGTTGTTAAGTTAAGGTACTGTTGTAACTTTGAACTGTTGCATGATTGCAATTTTGAATAGATGCTGAATGAGTGGCCATTAACCAAGGACTACCTAAGAATTATAGATTAGGATACTTTTTAATCACTGGGAAAAAAAGTTACATTCTGAAAAAAGCTGCTTTCAGCGTGATCATGCAGGATAAAATAGGGTTATGCAAATATTTGAAGGATCTTCAATGAGGTTTCAAGCAAAATAACCCTTTAAAGCTACTTTTATGAGGGAACTATATGGTTAGCATAATCTGTCACTTGTCAAAAGCACTTGTGCAGAAGTTCTTCAGGCTTTTGCAAATGACGGAGGTAAATGCCGCACCTTAAGCAATGCAAAGTGTTTTGTTAAGGCAAATTTTACTCCGTCTTCATTTCCTCAAAGTAAAGAAGAGATCATTTTGCCTCACAGTACAAAACTCTTCATTGAGAATTGACTAATGCAGGCCTAGGATAATAATAAGAAATGAGATGTAGAGATCCTAGAATACAGTACATCCAAACTCCTAACCAATTGCATTGTTTTACACTGTATAGATTAATTGAAAAAATGTGTTCAATTAAAAATCTTAAAATACACTAAAACTTCTGTGTAACAGACTAATGAATAGGAGAAAGATGACCATTAAAACTATATGTAATTTTTATGTAATATATAAAATTTTATGTAACACTTAACATTTACATAAGTTTTGCCACGTATATCCTGATAATATATAACATTTACTTAAATTAGTAAAAATTACTCAAATACATTCTGTGAACCCTATGAATTTAGATTTATCCTCTGTATCCAAAGTAGACAATGAGGATGTGCAAGATGGAGATTTCGCTGCATTTTGCAAGATTTTTGTATTCTTATCTCGATAATCCAAGACATAGAAATAAGGGCTCTTTTGCAGGCCATATATATATAATTCTGGACAAATGGCTGTCCAGTCTCTTCTTGAAAATCTCTAGTGATGGAGCAGCCACAACTTTCAGAGGTAAGACATTCTACTGAGTAATTGTTCTCACTGTTTTCTCCTAGGTTGGAACTCTCTTTAATGATTTGCCACATAGGAATACTTAGTTTTCTCAACAATTCATTGTCATTTTTTGGTCTTGTCTGCATCGTTTCTAGGGTCTCAATATCTTTTTTATGTTGTGCTGACCAAACCTGGACACAGTATTCCAGGTGTATGTGTGTGTTACACTTGCATATACAAACATACACATATTAAATATATTGTATATATGTTCATTGTCTTGAGATAGTAGTTCCTGTAGCCACCTCATCTTTCTTATTGTACTTAAGTTCAACTATTGGCATAATGGAATGCATTTAATTTTACATTGAATATAAATATTGTTGGTCAATGACAGAAATAAAAATTTACTATTACTGCTTCAGCTGTTCTCCCTGTGTATTTGTAGGATTTTTTTGAGGGGGTGGATTTGAGTGCATTTGAGCTTAACATGAGGCATGGGGAATTTAAGAAATGCATACTGTAAATATCCTGCAGGATACAAAGTATATAAAGTTCCTTGGATTATAAGACGTATCTTTTCTTAAAAATTTACATTACCTACGTGAATCCAATGCCATACTCAATGCATCAAATATGAATACCTGATTAATAATTTGAATGTTTGTAACATTACATACTTACATAGGTACACCCACATAGACTAAAGGGTTAATCATTCTCACCTGTACATTCTGCTCACTAGCACTTCATTAGTGTACCCCATTCCTCCCCAGAACTGGAGACAGCTATCTGGAATCTCTCGACATAGACGTCCACACTTTAGCTTGGCCATGGATACAAGTTTTGTCACATCATTACCATGTATATAGAGACCTCAAATAAAAATACAAATTTGCCTGTCAAGTTAGCCATATTTTCAAAAATAAAATTACCTTTTATTAGATTATTGGAAATAAAATTCTATTGCATTTACTTATCGTGTCGTATAGCAATGCACGAAGCAGTTCCAGTTCAGTCGCTAGTTCAGCCAGGCGAAAATGCACTATTTGATTGTGAAGTATTGGTTGGCCAAATGCCTTCCGCTGAGAAGTATAATCAATAGTTTCTTTTATCATGGTTTCTAGAGCTATCAATGCTAAAAATGTGACATAATAAAAGATGAAAGTTAGTTTATTTAATTCCTTTCCACTGAAGGTTAAGTCTCCCCTTTCCCGTCCCTCCCTCTCTGCCTCCCTCCCGGTCCTTCAGATTTTTCTGAATTTTTGCATATCTTTGCCATAGAACATGACCAAGAGCTTTCCATGAATGCTACTATTACTTAAAGGAAGTCAAAGTGAGCAATAATACTCAACACAATGAAACTCATTCTTTCATGGACAACATGCAATGAATGTGGAACAAGTCAGCAACCTCCTCAAAATTCAGTAAGTGGTTGCACCATCTTGAACTGCAGTAATGCTTCCTGATAATTATGCAGGGATTTTGCCTGTTTCATAGCACGTTGCTTTGCTCAGTAAAATTTGACATTTTTATTATTTGAACTGCTTGCCTCAAGACTTGCTACAATATTTCAGCTTTTAGATCTAGAGTATCTAAATGCAGACTTAATTCTTCATCCAATCTCTCACAGATTTGCTTGTTTATTTGGCAACACGGCTTTGGTCCATAACCCATCTGCGATGCATATATGGCTTGATATTCTGCAGAATTGTATGACATGTTTTGTATGATAGCAAGTAGTCCAGATCCTGAGACCGAAGAGCATGTCCAAACTATGAACTTACCACCTCTCTGATGACTGATATGAGATTTAGAATTAATTTATTTGATTAATTAAAACCAATCTGGAATTCTTTGGTTTTCACCAAACATAATAGCACCTATGGAGCCTGAAAAGATCCATATATCTGGAAGGTCATCCAGATGCTTTTTAGCCAACTTGAAACAGTGGCTATCTCTCAAGAATATTCCCAAAGTACAGGATAACATTTCCAGGAATCTCAGAACACGCTTGGCTTTTCAGGCCTTTCTTGATCTGGCTAGAGTCAGGTTTTTTTTACTTCACTATTTAAAAAAAAGATAAAACAGAAGTTTCTCTGTTGTTCCAAACTTTCACTACACAGAACTATTTTTTTTTAACTTTAGAGTAGTGGAGTCCTAGAGGTTCCACATGGCCTTGTAGTATCGTCCAGACTGATAGACATCAATGACTTTATTGTGGAAGATGTCTTATGTTCTCTGGAGAGCACTTCACTGTAATAAGGAGAACCAAACTTTGTGAAATTGATATAGAGAAGAGCTGGTCCAAATTAATTGTATTCAAACAACTGTTATGGTTTGTTTTTTAGTTGTATTAACTGAACTGATATTTATTTTATTTATTAAAGTTGTACACTGCTCATCTTGCCAAACCAAAGCAAAACAGACAACTTGGTTTATCAAACAATAAATATTTGGGTGTTTTTCATCAGAGCCTGTTATATAACCCATATAAAATTTTGGTAACATGTAATGGCAAAAATATTCAAAATTCAGAAAAACTGAATGCTTTTTCACAGATTTGTATATGGAAGGAATCTGCAGCTATGGAAATGCATACAATTTGGCTTCCACATTCATAATTGAGAGAATTGTTATATTTTACTGCCAAAATCAACTTTCCACATTGTTTTGTAAGCAAAAGCCATCTTAGTGGCTGGACAGTGTGGCTTATTACTTACCTGAGGCTACTCCCCACATTCGTTCTTCTTGGAATTGCAACATCTGGTAAATAAACCCCATTCCTTCTTCCCCAATAAGGTATTTGCTGGGAATTCTGACATTTTCAAAGAAGACTTCGACTGTGTCAGATGATCTCATACCAAGCTTGTTAATTTTCCTAGCAATGTGAATACCTGAAAATGAGTGTTTATAGATCAGGGGAAATGATTAATACAAATGAATATGAATTGCATATGTGGGACATTCAATGACAATTACATTATGGCTTCCTTTATAACCTAATTAAAATTCATCTTTAAAAAAGTGCAAGTGTTAGTAAAATTAATGTTTCCATTTGAGGGGGGGAAGCTACAATTGTCAATAAGAAAATTGGAATACTAAACATTGTTAAGTAGATAATCTAGTCACAAGCCAGAAAAATGATCCTTTCTGATTTGAGGAAGACAAAATTAAAGAGTCACTCTGAGACTGAATGGGCAATCTCTATATATGATAAACACATAAACATGAATGGTCGCTTTTTTACTGTGAAATATGCCTATTATTTTCCTGAACAATGAATAAAATTCCTTGTGTATTGGCTTGTCAAAAATGTCATTTGATAATATCCTTTATTTACACTAGGAATAGTATTCTAACTGCCAGTCGCTCACAATATACTGTGGTATTTCTGTATGTATTTTGAGACTTTTCATACAGTACCTTCACTAATTCCAAATGGGGAAAAATATGACTGAAAGAATCAGGGACTTTTGACTGGATAGTCTAAGTTCCATCTGGATCAATGAATTTACAAATTTACAGATTTGAATAAAAAAGAAAGAAGGAAGAATACAGCACAGACAAATGCTATATTCTGCAAAGTCAAAAGCTAATCTAAATAATTTAGAGCAAAACAACACTCTAAATCAATTTAGCTTTCCTTCTCTATATAAACAAGAGATTGCCGTATTAAAACTAAATAACTGAAGAGAGAGTATATTTTATACAGGAGAATCATGTCATCTGATGATGTTACCTAGTTTGGATAATGAAACATCTACAAAGAAAACAAGCAAGCTCAGAGAGCACCAAGGACCCCTCATTTCAAACTTGAGCTACAAATATTCTCCTTTATCAGAATCACTTCTTCCAATGTATTTTATTGTCTTCTAAGCAGCTTGTAATTATTAAATAAGGTCTGAGTTTCAGATATTTGGTAATTTTGTCTTCCTGGATCTTCCCATGAGACCTTCTTAAAAGTTGAAATACGTTGGTCATTTTCCAGTTCTCTATTTGTAGGCAGCCTGAAGCCCTGGGGTCATAATTTCATTCTACGAGTCACAACTTAATTATTATTTTTTTTTTTTTTTTTTTTTTTAAAAGGATAAGTTGAAAAAGGTAATTGCTGAGGACCAGAGTTTTGTGATGCTGCATAAAATTTGATCACTTTGGCTTATGATCATTACTTAGCAGGAACATAAGCTATTTCATATTGAGAAGACCATTTGAATAAATCATCTGCAGCTTGTGAAGATTATTTAGTATTTTTATTTGAAACAAATCCATGTGGGGATCCCTGAATAATGCTTGTCAAGTATCTTTGGACATACTTCATGGATCAATTCTTACTACAAAAACACATTCCCCAATTTCTTAAGGCCATGCAGTTGCTGCCTATTTGATGTGCATACAATAGTTTCTAGTTCCTTTTAAAGAGACACTGATGTGTCCCCTCCTCAAGAAGCCGTCGGTGGACCCTATTGTTTTAGGCAATTTTTACCCAGTCTTCCATCTTCCCTTTGAATCCTGGAGGAAACAGGTTATCTGGACCCTTTCAGTAAATTTCAGGCCCAGATATGGGGCTGAAACAGCATTGATAATTTCATGGATGCTCCATGGTGGGAATGGAATGGAGGCAATGTATCCATCCTAGGTCCTCTTGACGTCTCAGTGGTTTTCAATACTATTGACTAGGATAGCGTTTAGTTAGGGTAGAGTATTTATATTTTTATAATATTTTATTGGTATTGTGTACAGGTTTTATCATTTTAATATTGTGAACCATGCAGAGTTATCTGTGGTAAGATACGTGGAAAATAAAATAAATAAAAAATAAAATAAAATAAAATAAAAATAGTCTTTTGAGCCAACTTAGGGTGGCATGGTTCTGTACAGTTTCACCTCCTTCATAGGTCAGTCTCAATTACTGTTGACAGAAAGTGAGAGGCTCATGGCGACTGCTCAAAGAACAGGCTAGGAGGGCCTTTGCTCCACTTTGTATTATGTGCAGCTACTTTTTTCCCTAGATAGGGAACTCTCTGGAGATTCATGCCCTGGTCATCTCCTGTTTGGACTACTACACTGACTTATCCTTGAAAAGTATCAAGAAGCTTCAGCTGGTACAAAATGCAGCTAGTGGCACCCCAAAAATAGTGCATGTAATACCTCTGTCGCATGAGTTGCATTGGGTACTAGTTTGCTTCTGAGTCCAATTCAAGGTGTTGGCTATGATCTTTAAAGCCCTTCAGGGCCATGTTACTTCTGGGACTGTCTTCATCCTGTTATATCAGCCCATCCCACCCATGAGGCATGGAAGGTATGTTATGGATTTTGTCAACCAAAGAATTCCAACTGGCAGGGTCCAGGAGGAAAAACTTTCTCTGCCATTGTTCCTGGAATGTGGAACAATCTCTCTTTGAAGTGAGGTGGGCACCCACTCTCTTGGCCTTCCATAAATGCTTAAAAACATGGCTCTTGTGGCCTTGCTTGGGGCATGCAGAGAAGCACACAACCGTGGGGCTGATTACTGCCCTGAAACCCCTGCCCCCACCTTTTAATTATTTTTTTAAACATTCATTGCCTCTTTTAAATTTTAGGTGTTGTTTTTATGTTTTTAATATTTTACTATACACTGCCCAGAGTCCTTTTACGAGGGAGATGGGTGGTTCTTCTTAAAGATGATAAATAATAGGTTTTAGTGGTATTTCCTAGATTAGATGCACTATTATATATAAAGAATGCTATTCCATATCAGCAACATGGGAGTGTCGGCTCTACCTATTTTTAAAAAATTAACAGACAACAACAACAATCATAATAATAATGATAATAATAATAAAAGTTGGAAGGGATCTTAGAGGTCATCTAGTCCAACCCCCTGCTCAGACATTTCAGGCAAATGGCTGTCTAGTCTCTTGTCTGTATATCAGAATTACTGGCTTTACTAAGACCAAACAGGTCTGCAGCATGACCCAGTACTACAGCCCAATTCTTTTTTTAAAAAAAATTGTCAATAAAAGTGTTGTCCTTATATTGGAAAATTGGGAAAAAAAATCACTCATAGCTTAATCAGTGCAATTTGTTTGAAAAAAACCTTCAGTCTTATTTCTTTCCTTAGAATTACTCATCAGTGGGCTTAGAACAATTTTAAATAATATAATCCCTTGATTGTTTAAAGTAACTTTACTAATCCAAAAATTTCATTTATATTTTTAACTACTAATAAGAGTGCAATTAAGATTGAGTGGTACCTAGCATTAGTTCTTTTTTGGATAGAGAACATTCTCAATTGTGCTTTTGTTCTTCCTATGTTAGTTAACTCCCATCTGTTAGAAACAACTACCCTAATATTGTATTTAATAACACATTCAAGATTCAGAGGACTAGCTCTTATGAAATTTCCCAAAGTGGGTTTATCGACTTTCAAGCAGCTATAAAACTTTCCCATTTAAATTGTATTGTTATTTGTTCCTTCACCAGATCCTGTGCCCCAGACATATTGGGAAAACTGACTTCATAATTTCTTCATTATTAATAGCATTTCTGAGTGATATTCATTTGGGTACTTAGTGTGAAAAAAAACTTGACAGTCACCCTTGAGATGTAGGCCTTGCTGAAGGATATCCAACATGCTCAAAAAAGAAAGTCCTATCTAATTAATCTATAATTTACAAGTATTATTTTATAATCAGTAGCAGCTTCTAATTTATCTGTTCCTACAGCAGGCTACAACTCATGAGAGATATTGTGCAAAATGCATGAAATAGGAGCAGTAATCTAAAAATAATTTTGTTTCTACTAATTTCTTCTTCTTTCCTGACCCTGCTGTTAATGACTGATAACTCAATTAACAATGAAATAGTCATGCAATAATTTTATAGCACACAAAAAAACCTATTATGCCATAAGTTTGAGTAGATAACTTTCAATTATATCAAATTGTTGTTGAGGTTTTTTTCAATTTTAAGTACTTATTTGCTTTGCTTCTACTTTTAAGATAGCAAAAAAAAAAAAACCCCTCTGTGAAACTTCAATTAAGATTTCTGTTTTTAATTTGGAAAGCCTGATAGCTATTTGAAGATTTTGTATTAGTCTAAGGCACTATCACAATATACATTTTTGAAATTCTTATACCCAACACTATTTTGCTTCAAAAAGATTGTCATCATTTGGAAGGGATATGTCTCCTGATGATTTATGAGGTTTAAATATGAATTTCCACTCCTCTAATTTTTAAGTTTTACTTTTTTATATTAGGGTTTTTTTTGAGAACAATTTATCTTAACTTTATTACCAGGCAGCTTCATTGGCAGGCATAGGAGTGATTTGTTTTTGTGGGGTGGTCCATCCTTTGTGTTTGCCAAGAGGCACATCCAGTCTGCCTGAAATCCAGAAGTGATCCACATTTTGCTACCATTTATCACATAGTCATCACCTTTTCTTACAGCTTTGGTCTTGATATCTAGGTACAAGAGAGAGAAAAATAGTAAGGAATGTGAAGAGCCCCACTATATGAAGTGACGGTGGTGCTAAATGAGTAATCCTTATGACTGGTCTTTGAAATTTCACTTGTCATAGTGCCCTAATGGCCCTGTGATTGTGATTCGAGTACTTGGCAATTGGCTCCATTTATGAAGTTGCTGTATTCTATGGTCATGTTATTGCAGTCTTCCCTGCCGACATGCATTTGGCAACTGACTGGCACTTGATAACTGGCACTTGGAAAGTTGCAGCATCCAGTGATCATGTGATTACCGTTTACAATCTTCCCACAAGCAAAGTCAAAGTGGAAGCTAGGAGGGAAGATCATAGGTTGCTCTAATGAACCGTCCTCCCCAGTCTTCCTGTGGTCGTGCTCCCTCCATGCCACCCACCTGTTACCCTTTCTGTTCTCACATCCAGCCTGTGCCATCCACTCCCCAGCATTCTTGCATTTGTGTGCAGCTTGTGCACAAGCCCTCTCCCTGCACACAGCCTGCCACAGGCTTCTCAGGGCCTCCCTTATAATCCTGCATCCCACATTTTCCTGCAATAGCCTCCCGGCACTCCTTCTTGTGACTCCTGCCACTTCCCAATTAATAATCCATGTACCCTAGCTCAGGGCTTTTCAACCAGTGGTACGGGTACCACCTGTGGTACATTGGCACCTGGCAGGTGGTACACAACCATCCTAGAAAAGTGGTAGCAGGGGAGGGGAATGAGCTGAACCGGTGGCAGCACTGCACAAGCCTGAGCAAGAGATGGCTGGAGCTGCAGGGCTGCCAGGGCTCAGCAGAAGCGCCAGGATCAGTGCCGCTTTCCAGCTGATTGGGGCTTCTGGGCTGTCAGGGCTCAGTGGAAGCACCAGGATCAGCGCCTGGAGGTTGAAAAGCCCTGCCCTAGCTGACAGCAACGAGGAATGCTGGGATTGTTGTCACTAAGCAATGAAATATATGATGGCATGCTTTATGACAGCAACACTCATCTATAACAGGACTTTTCAACCTTTTCACCCATTGTACCACTTTTAGGATATGGCAACATCCGAGTACCACCAGTTACCTAGCAAGGTGTCAAAAACTTGATGACCAAAAAAAAAAAGAGGAAAAAAGTGATAAAGTACAGGTACTCCTCGACTTACAACAGTTCGCTTAGTGACTGTTCGAAGTTACAATGGCACTGAAAAAAGTGCCCCCCCCAAGCCACAGCCGAGCAAGACACCTGCCTGCCCACCCAGTGGCGCTCTTCCTCCTGTCCGAGGTTTTCATTGTTGTGAGTATTTCTGTTGAGGATTGGCAGCGGGGGTGAGGTGGGGGGTGTTTAGTTTTTATTTCCCCCGTCTGCTGGGTGGTTGCAGCAGGTTTTGGTCACTTCACATGACCTTGGGACACTGTGACCATCATAAATATGAATCAGTTGCCAAGCATCTGAATGTAAATCACAAGACCCTGGAGATGCTGCAACATTCCAGCTGATCGGTGCTTCTTCTGGGCTCAGCAGAAGCGCCAGGATCAGCACCGAGCTCCAGCTGGATCCTAGCGCTGATCCTGGCGCTTCCACTGAGCCCTGACAGCCCCGAAGCGCCGATCAGCTGGAAAGCAGCACTGATCCTGGTGCTTCCGCTGAGCCCTGACAGCCCTGCAGTTCCAGCCATCTCTCGCTCAGGCTTGTGCGGTTCAGCTCATTCCCCTCCCCCGCTACCACTTTTCTAGGATGGTCGCGTACCACTTGCCAGGTGCCAATATACCACAGGTGGTACCCGTACCACTGGTTGAAAAGCCCTGATCTATAACACCCCCAATCTCAATTGCTGTCATAACAAGTACCTACCAATTTATTTTATATACATTGGAAATTAAGGATTTAACCTTTAAATAAACCTGATTCCTCTGCAGTGTCCAACTTCAAACTAGGCTGAATTTTTAGCTAATTAAGTAAATATGCTGATAGATAAATAAAAATAAAGAGTCTAGTACTTTTTGATTTACTAAAAGTTTTATACCCTTCTGAAACACTTGACTATACCCATTGCTAATTGGAAACTCCTTATAGATTTTTTTTTTTGCATGAAATAGAAAAAGATGAACTTACAGTTTATCGGTTTAATAATTAGACAGGATTATAAAAAGAAGAGTCACATTGAAATCTTAGACTAAGAGGTAAAAGAACTTTGTTCTCTAAAAGTTGTAAAACAACAATAAAGAAAATACCTATTAATTTCTGTCTATAGCAGAAGAACCATTCATAGGTAGTCCTTGACTTACAACAGTTCATTTAATGATTGTTCGAAGTTACAGAGGCACAGAAAAAAGGGACTTATGACCATTTTTCACACTTACAACCATTGCAGTATCCCCATAGTTACATGATCAAAATTGGGATGCTTGGCAATTGATTCATATTTATGATTGCAGTGTGTGTGTGTGTGTGTGTGTGTGTGTGTGTGTGTGTGTGTGTGATCCCCTATAGCAGTGATGGCAAACCTTTTAGAGACCGAGTGCCCAAACTGCAACCCAAAACCTACTTATGTATCATCAGGTGCTGGGTGGGCGTGGCCACCCAGCGTGGGCGTGGCCACCCAGCGTGGGCATGGCTGCAGTGGTCATAGCAGACTGGGTGGGTGTGGCCGGGGTGGGCATGGCCACCTCAATGTTGCTCGTGGGGAGGGACGCCTATGGGGGCCAGGCAGGGTTGGGGGAGATCCAGGTGGTCTCTGGTGGGTGGGACCGTGGGCAGAAGGCTCATCCTACAGGGTGAGGAGGTGAGGCAGGGGGCAGGGCAGGGGTGCCATTGCCGCAGGGCAAGACAAGGCAAGGCAGGGGCCGGGGCGGCAGCTGCCTGACACCATTGGCCCCCGCACACAATGAGTGCATGTGTCCATCAGCAGCCACAACCTGCCCGCCCCTCAGTTTCGGCGTGACGTGGCTCTTTACTGCCTTTCGCGTTGTACCCAATGCGGCTGCCATGAGGCCGCAGAACAAGCCGGGAGGAGATAAGGAACTGATATACTGGTTTCTTACCACCGCCCCGCTTGTTCTGCAGCCTCATGGCAGCAGCACTGGGCAGGAAGCGGCAAATGGCCAGTTTCAGTGTGATGTGGTTGTTTGCCTCCGGCAATGGCCATTTGCCGCCTCGCACGATGCGGCTGTTTGCCTCCGGCTGCGGCCATTTGCCACCTCGCATGTCACACCCAATGCCGCTGCCATGAGGCCACAGAACAAGACAGGCAGAGGTAAGGAACCGATATACCAGTTTCTTACCGCCGTCCAACTTGTTCCGCAGCCTCATGACAGCGGCATTAGTCAGGAGGCAGCAAATGGCTGGTTTCAGCACCATGAGGCTGCGGATAGCCAGCCAGGGCTGGGCTGGGCTGGAGCCGGGCGCACCGCAGCCTCCCCACTTGCCTGTCTGCCGGCCGGGGCTGCTTTTACTCACACATAAGCATGGTAGATGAATGCCCAGCTGCGGGGCCTTTCCAGCACATTGTAGAGGAAATTCTGGAGCTTGCGGTAGAAGGCGTTCCTTTTGGGGGATTCCAGTTCTGGTTTGCAGCGACTGCAGTCATGTGAAAAGACTTGTCTCTTCACCTTTTCCTTTGCTGGTAGACCACGAAGGGGGTTGAAAGTCACCCTGGAGGGGCGACCACTGAGGAGGAGGCTTGCTGGTGACTGTGGGAAGGTAGCAGCTTCTCCCGCAGCTCCAGCTGACTCCTTAGGGCCGACGGAGCAAAGATCGTCCTGTAAAATGGCCGATCATCTAGCTGCACCAGCCGAAGTCAAAAGAACAGCTAAGCGTGAAGAAACCACCGCAGAGAAATCTGGGTGAGACTTTTTTTTTTCCTCTTACCCCCAACTATTTTTTCTGCAAAGAGCTTTTGGATGACTTCCCTGCCCTAAGAAAGTGGCGTTCATCTATTTGGGAAAAAAATATTTGGAATAAAACTATAGAACAGCATTTACTGGACTATTAACATTTTGGATACTTGGGACATTATTCTACTTACCATATTTTTCAGCATATAAGACGACTTTCTAAACCCTGAAAATCTTCTCAAAAGTCAGGGGTCGTCTTATACGCCCAGTCATCTTATACGCCGGAAAATACGGTATATAGAGAATCAGAGGAATTGTGATAAATTCACCCCCGGTGGGAGTAGCTTGGGGAGGCGGAGCTTGAAAGGAGGCAGGGTGGTAGGAGATGCTCATGGGGGATGCAGTGGCGGCTCATACTGAGTGTGCGACTGGCGACTGCAGAGCTGGACAGGCAGGCGGCGGCAGCGCAAGGCGTTCCCTCTTTCCTCGTGCCCCACACGGTAGGGAGGAAGGAGGAGGAGGCTATGGGTCTGGAAGGGGAGGGGTGTCAGCTAAATTCCTCTCGGATTTACGAAGCAGGAATGGAGGGGGGACAGAAAACAGCTACATGGTCCTTTTGCCCGTCGACTTCCACCGAGCTTATGCCAGCGGTTTCCCCCCACCTAAATAAACTTGCATGGTGCATTTGTGGTGTTATTTATGACAGATCCTGGCTGGTCAATCTGGCTCCCATCAATAAGTACTGTAGTGCACTGAGTTTTAATAACAAATTACAAGGAAAGCCGAAATTAAAAGGAAAGCATTTACTTCCCTCCCCCATTACCTGAAAAGGGGGCAACTTATCACATTTGTGGAAATGCAAGTTTTCGAAGGGCGAATGCCTTTCTTACTCGGTTTGTTAACTGCTTCCTTTCCTTCTTCCCTAAACATTCTGGCTGTCGCCAATTTTATTCTTGGTAGTGTTGCTTTAAAAAACTGCTGAGAAGTCCTTTTGCAGGCAGGGCAATTTTCATCAAGGTGTGTGTGCGACTGACAAGGCAGAGCCCCGAAGTTTCCCGTTTGGTTGACAGCTTAGAAAACAAACAGCATGGCAGCTCCCATGGGTTTATTGTCTTATCCTTTCTTTCAGCTTTAGAGTGAATTAGGAAAAGTTTAATCCACTTGCACTGTTTTATGTTTACATGTTTGATGGCAAACAGCCTTATGTTTATAAGTGATAGTTTTCTTGCTAAGTACCTGCGTGTCATAATCATTTGAATTAAAATTACCATATTGAAATCAAATCTGATGTTTTTTAATTTTTATTTAGTGTGCGTTGGAAGAGGGGTAGTCTTATACGGCAAGTATAGCCCAAACTCTATATTTTAACTGGAAAAGTTGGGGGTCGTCTTATACGCCCAGTCGTCTTATACGCCGGAAAATACGGTACTATATCGGAGATATTTGCGTTTCCCTGTCTCCTTCTTCCTTATTTTCAAAATGAGATAAAAGCTTTTAACTTGGAAAGAAAAAAGCTTTTAAGCTCACTGAGGACATCGTGTGGCAAAAAGTGTTACTGCAATTGTAATGTTTTTAGGCGTTTGAAAATGGATTTGACTTTCAAATAATAACAAAAGGGAAGAGATAAAGGCTTGGAAATAGCTGTGGGTTGACTTTGTGATCTAGAAACTGTGGAGGCAGATGTTTATTGACTTTTAATAAATATAGCTTCTACTAAAAGACTAAAATACTATTTTACTATGGAAATGGAAGAATCTTACCCACAGCTTGATTATGAGCTTATACTGGAAAAAATATTGGAAGCTACAGAGTATATGAAATCATGGAGAAAAATTAAAGATCATTTTGCAGAACCACAAACTGAGCCTCAAATTTTAAAAGATCAACATATAGGCCAAGAAGAAGCCTATATGCAACAATGTACACAATTTAATGAGATGGAAGAAGAACCTACTGATCAATTGAATTTTACAAAAACTTTGGACCCAAAATCCCAGACTGAGACTTTAATTGATCACTCTCCAAGTCAACTAATTACTACAGAAGAGGATATTTCACAAGTTTATGTACAAACTATGGAGAACTCTGAAGACCAAAGAATGACCTCAACTGAAACACTCTCACTTCTAAAACCAACAGGAACTGACTTCCAGATGTGATCTACTGGAAATTATGACAACTTGGATAATCAAGCTGTAATCATAATATGAACAAAATTGACTATATTACCTACATGATACTGAAAGATGAGGAGGAGAACTTTGACCAGAACAATTTGTTTGCTAAACAGCAGTACTCAAATATTGAGATTTGATGACATAGTGCAGCACCATGGAAACCAGCTTGGCACAGAAAATCTCTCTCTCTCTCTCTCTCTCTCTCTCTCTCTCACTCACTCACACACACACACACACACACACACAGAGAGAGAGAGAGAGAGAGAGAGAGAGAATACTTAGAAGTGGAGTTGCTACTAATATTCCTCCCCCCCCCCTATACATAGGAGTTTTCCAGAGAGGCATTTCTAGTTCTTTTACTGTAAAAAAAAGTTTTTAATACATGGGTTTTAGTGGTTTTTTTAAAATTACCTGATACCAATTCATGGCAATTGGTCAACTCAATTTAGTGGTTCTTTTGCCTGCCCCGACTTCCTTTGAACCCTTTAATCCAATCCCATGCCTTCTTTGTCCCTATTACCCTATTTCCATTCACTAAATATTGTAGTTTGTGCAGACAATAATCAACATTACATTTGAGCCACCTTAGATTTTCATTGCTTCACAAAGAAACAGAAGCATTAGTTCTGAAGCTCTATAAATATTTAAGGGAACTGTGATCCATAAAGAAAGATGGGAAAGTGTTGTCTTAATTGTTTGATTTGAATAGTTGTCAAGGTAGAAATGATAAACCCTATAGATTATTAAGACAAAAGATGTATAAGAAGAGAAAATAAACTTGGCCTTATTAAAATATTTTAATAGCATATTTTAATATTCCTATTTATTTAAGCTAGTGAGAAAGAGAAGAATTCCAACAGAAGAGAATTATCTGTAGCCCAGGATTGAACTATGAAGTCCTTGGTGCTCTCTGAGTTTGGTTATTTGCTCACAGATGTTTTGCTACAAGACTAGATACAACTTCAATGAATGGTCCATGTGAATTTGTCTAATAACAAAACATCTGTAAACTCAGAAACACCAAGGAGACCATAGGAGAAAAATTAATTACAGCACACAAATTCAATCAAACTATAATAATAATGATTCTTTCTTCTCCATTTGTTTTAACAGGGCTTTCACAAAGCATCTTTTTCTAATTGTTGTTGATCAGTTGAGAACTAAGAAAATTTTCGTTAACACTCTGAATCAGTACTTCTGGCTATTTCACAGTTGTTGAGTTATAGACTTAGAGAGCACCAAGGAGCTCTCATTTCAATCCTAAGTTACAAATATTCTTCACTATTGGTATGGTTATTATTGCAAAACAGAACAAAACAAAAGGTGTGGGGAAGAAAAAGGGTTACCACCAAATATTCTTGAGTTATTTAGAATAACAAAATGTACATGGGGCAGGATATTAATGAAGCTTGGCATGATTGGGTGTGGTTATAGATATGAGTTTTTAACTGAGGCCTCAACATTGCCCTTCCTTCTTTCCTTTTCTAATTTATTAATTGTATTATGGTTTTATTGTTGCTCACTACCTAGAATACTTAATGTGTATGCTACATAAGTAACCATATAAATTTGTATAATAAATAGTCAATAATCAGTTGTAAATGAGTTACAAATTTCATATGGATGATTTATACTTACTTGCAACATCTGAACCTGCCTCAGATTCACTCACTCCTATGCAAGCCACAATATCTCCAGCTATTGTTGGAGCAAGAAATTCTTTCTTCAGCTCATCTGTACCAAATCTGTAATGATGACAAAGTCAAACACTTTTCCCATGGCCCTTTTGTGTGATTTCTGAAAGCAAGATCTACTACAACAGTATTTCACATCCTTTTTTAAGAGGAAAGGTTTGATACTTTTATATATAACTTTGAAAATAAAGAACGGAAAGCAGAGCATGATATAAAATAACTTATAAATCTGTCTTTCCAATAGAAGTTGGGCAAAATAATTCATGGAAAAAAGTACTTTGTACCATTTGGCAGCAAAAGCTAGCAAGGCAAATGATCAAATGTCAACAGTTTCTAAGAAAGGAGAAAAGTTTCCCAATCATCTGATTGTGACCAATTCTCTATTACTGTTTTTTGTGCAAGCAAACCAAAGACACTACAAACAAAAAAAGGCCACGTGTTTTGTCCAATACCTTTGGAAAAGACAGGTTGGAAAAAGCTTACTTAAATTGTACCTCTACAAAATGTTCATAATTGAACTCCAGTTGTCCTCTTTCTATGCATAGTAGACAGAAAAGAGATCTTATCTGCATAAAATTGGGGTTATACTTTGCTTGCTCCTCTTTTTGTTCTGGCCTTGTCTTACATGACATTTTGTATTCTGAATATAACACATTTCTCTCAAGAAAAAGAAGACTGAGCATGATAAGTTTTTCTAGAAACTGAGCATTTGCCTATTCTTCAGCATCGAACCCCCAAATATTCTAGCACTGCATCTCCCAGTAATAATATCATTTGCAAAATTTCTGATTAAACAAAGGGACTTACAAGCTTTACCTGAAATCAAAATTCAGGCACTTGGCAGCCCACATGCATTTATAACCACAGGGATGCTGCAACTTCCACATATCTCCACCCCCCTTCCCATCTATGTTCTTTTGGCCTCCTGAGCTCTGCTTCTCCAGAAGGTCTTCCTATCCTGTTGCTCCCACTGCCGACAAGGCATTGCCTAGCTGGGCTGCTGGGCTGGGGCTGGCTTCATGCTGCAAAAAGGAAAAGAAAAAGTAGCCCCTGAGTGGCAGTGCACCACACTTGTGGGCTGGGCTGGGACTGGCTCCATACTGCAAAAAAGAAAATAAACAAGGAAAAATAAGGCACTGACAACACACCAAAACATCCCTTTGCAAAGAACCTGGGGGGGGGGGTAGATAGGTGGGGTGGGGAAGTAGGAGCAATCCTTACCCTATTGAGGTTGGGTTTGGTGACAGATTAAACCTAGATTGGGCTGCAATGGATCCTTAGCAATGACAGAAACTTAAGTCACCAAGGGGGTAGGGGATATTTGCTTTTTATTGTCTTTTTATTGGATTTTTATTCATGTAAGCTGCCCAGAGTCACTGAAAGGGAGTTGGGCCATCATATAATTTTCATTCATATTCATTCATTCATTCATAAATCTATGAAAGCATATTCAATTACTACAATTATTCCAATGAAAGGGACTCATGCTATTGTGGAAGATGAATGTAATAGTGAAGAGGTTTAAGTAATACACTCCAATTTTCTCTTTGCTTTCCAATATAAAGTGGCTTCTCCTCTGATGTTTGCGCATAATTCAGCTCATTAAAGCTTTAGGTTTCTCAATGATACACAGGGTTCCATTACTCTCTCCTCTCCCCACTGTCATAAATACAATCCAGTTGCTTGATAATTGAGAAAGCCAAGAGTACTAAAAGTAATGTACATCATGTGATGCATGATGTAAAGAAAATGAGAGTTGACTTTTTGTATAATGAAGGAATAAACAAGCAGTTAAGGGAAAAGATTATAGAGTTCTGAGAAAAGGGAAGCCTGAGAAAGGTACTCAAAATAATCCTGCTTTGATTTTGTTTGATATAAGATGAAACAGAGACAAATATATACAGTCTTTCAAGATTTTGTTATTCTACTTAACAAACAGATTGGCTATAAGTTGGCAAAGATTATATGGTCTCTATTTATTCAACCTATATGTAGATTATATATTGAATGAGGCTCGATTGAAAATATATTATTGTGGTTTTAAAACAGGAAGAAGAAACATCGGTAACTGTGATATGCTGATGACATTACTCTATAATAGTTGAAAATGCAAATGATCTGCAAGTTTTAATAATGAAAGTCAATGAACGCAGTGGAAAAATCAAGTAGGATAAAATAAAGTGACACAGGCAGAGCAACCAGCCTCAGAATAGGCAATGAAGGAAACAGTGGATAATTTCTGCCTTTTTTAGATTAATTATCAACAATAAGGGAGCCAACACTCCAGAAGATAGGCTTAAGACACAGAAGATTCTTGACAGGCTTGAACATTGGACGCTATCTAACAAAATGAAATTCAATGGTGAAAAAAGTAAGGTTCTACATTTAGGCAAGAAAAACCACCTTGCCCAATGGTACCAAATGTGAGAGGGATCTTGGAGTCCTAGTGGACAATCACCTAAATATGAGCCAGCAGTGGGCTATAGCTGCCAAAAAAGGCAACACAGTGCTAGGCTGCATTAACAGACGAATAGAATCAAGATCACATGAAGTGTTAATACCACTTTACAATGCCTTGGTAAGGCTACATTTGGAATACTGCAACCAGTTTTGGTCATCACAATGTAAAAAAGATGCTGAGACTCTAGAAAGAGTACAGAGAAGAGCAACACAGATGATCAGGGGACTGGAGGCTAAAACATATAAAGAATGGTTGCTGGAATTGGGTATGTCTAGTTTAATGAAGAGAAGGATGAGGGGTGACATGATAGCAGTGTTCCAATATCTCAGGGGTTGGAAAGAAAGAGGGACTCCCACAAAGAAGAGGGAGTCAAGCTATTCTCCAAAGCATCTGAAGGCAGGATAAGAAGCAACGGATGGAAACTAACGAAAGAGAGAAGTAACCTAGAACTAAGGAGAAATTTCCTGACAGTGGCAACAATTAACCAGTGGAACAACCTGCCTCCAGAAGCTGTGAATGCTCCAAAGCTGGAAATTTTTAAGAAGAGAATGGACAGCCATTTGTCTGAAATGGTATAGGGTTTCCTGGCTGAGCAGGGGTTGGATTAGATGACCTCCAATGTCCTTTCCAACTTGATGATGATGATGACAATGATGATGCAGATTAGCACCTTGGGGACAGAAATGAAGTCTTTGAAAAAAAATATGAAGATCCATTATATATACAAAAATCAGACTCAGACAGACAATAGTGTTTCCTGTGACACTTTATGGAAGGAAAAGTTGGAATTTGTTATGGAATGTGCACTCGGAGAAGGAGAATTCCAGCAAGAGCACTGATGTTTCACATGGAGGAGGCAGTACATTCCAGAGAAAAGCCCAAAATAAGAGAATGCACAGCCCTGGACTGCACTTGGGGAGTGGGGAGGAAGAGGTTTAGGGTAGTTATACTCTGAAATCTCCCATGGTGTATCTATCACATTAGAAAGTTATAGCTTTAATCTGATAGGATTCTGTCTATTAAGTGTAAGCAAATATAAAGATCTAGACTCATTTGGATTTCATTGTGCTGTCTTTGGACTTGGACATGACAGAATTTGAAGAAGCAGGTTAGAAAGAGTATTGATGCACTTGAACTTTAGTGTTGGAGAAGATGTCTTGAGAACATTATGGACAGCCAAGAAAATAAATAAATAAACAAATAAAGCGTGGAACAAATCAATCCAGTGTTCCCATTCTAGGCACAAATAACTAGGCATTGACTTGATGGCACATAATAAATCAACCAAATCTCTATAGCTCACGGGTTGGCATGATTAGAATATTAAAAGCTACTATTGCCACACTTTTATTAAAAAAAATCTAATTGTGAACAAAATACTGACAACTTCAGCTGTTATTTATATATTTAGAAAATTATTTATATAGCTACCCAATTCAAACATGAGTCTAAATTGTGTACAAAATCATAAAACAAAAAGAGAATAAAAATTAATATGATTATTGAATAGGAAATGGTCTGATTCATATATAAGCTACACGAGAGTATTGTTAGTTTAACTAGGGGGCTATCCTGCAGGAGTTGGCAAATTGAACATTTTTAAACCCAACAAATAGTTCTAAGTTTACAATGACAACTGGGACTGAAATTTCTGTCTCTAAGTGATATGGTCATAAAATGTAATGTCATACGATTCGCATGGCTTAGCAACAGCAACCCTGAAAATCTGGTGTCTGCGTGTGATCAGAGTTGTAAGTAAGGAGGGCAGTGGACAAGTGCTGTGTGCGGGTGGGTGAAAGCTGCAGCTGGGCACTACTGAGTGTCGGCAGCTGACAGGGGCCGCTACAGTGCACAGGTGAGTGCCATGGGGAATAATATCCTTAGGATCTTATATACTATAGGTCTTCTTGGGACAAAAAGCGCAAGAGCCACTTACGACTTTCCCTTCCAGTTTCCCCACTGCCTTTGTTTATGGGAATCTGGCAGGAAAGGTCCCAAAAGGTGGTCACATGACTGTAATCATGATGTAATTGCGAGCCAGGTGTCCAAACACATGACTGTGGGGATACTGCGACAGTTGTAACTACACAGATTTGTTGGTTGTAAGATCCTCTTGTTCAATACTGTTGTAACTGAATGGATGCTGAATGACTGACTGCAACCAGAACTTCGTTGTTTACTGATTCATGTTAAATTGCAGAGAAAAATTAAACACAATAAGATTGTTCTCTGGATCACTTGCTACAGTTGTATTATATAAAGCTATAATTTTAATCTGCACAATGCAGTAAATGGCTTAGAAAGCTGTCAGAAGCAATTACATAGAGAACTCCATTATGCATGTATAAAGGCATGGGAAAAATTTTATTTCAAAGATTTGTTCAAAAAAGTCTTCATAATGAACAAAGGCACAGAAAAAATGTCAGTCCTCCAGATAAACTCATTTATAATAATATTCATTCAAATCAGAATGGAAGTGAAGAAGGCAAAACAACTTTCTTAATATAGCCTTCAGTTAAATGCATTCTAGGAAACACACACACACACACACACACACACACACACACACACACATCACACACAGAAAGAG